TGGGACTGAGCTCTTATTCACAATTTGTCTATTTGTGCTAGCTCTGATTTATGGTATCTACACAACAATAAGCACCATAACACGTGACCCCTAAGAGCCATCATGTTGGTGGTAGTTTGAGGAGCTTCATTTTGAGGTTCTAGATGCCTCCACCTTGAAACTCTCCTAAAAATTGCCTTAAATGGCAAATTTAGACCCATGAAGGAAGGCCCAGCATCAGGGGAGATTTCTCCTGGAACATGGCAAGCATTGGGTAAGGCTGGGCGTCAGCCAGTCTTCTCTCCCACGCCTGTCACCCCATGCACTCAGCCTCAATATTATGTTACTCTTACAGCTGTGGAGGATTTGACAATGAATTTTGACCCTCCCTCTGAGCACTGATGAGGAACGGGGAGAACAGCCAGCAAGTCCAAAATGGACAAATACAGAATGGTGCAATTTGTCTGCAATACACCAAGAAGGAACCGGATATCTCCAGAGACACATTCACCCCTCCCTAACCCCCCAACCCCGCACCTTCTTCTCGCAACAGCTCAGCATCAGTAATCACTTCTGAGCAGCAGACAACAATACGCGGGGCAAATCAGCTCATGCCAGGGTTTTAAAATTACACAGCTAGAGGATAGCTTCAGAGGCTCAACGCACAGTCACTGGTGCCTGCTGCCACACGGTGCTGCTGGCAATAGGGGTGAAGTTGGCACTTTCAAACGAGCACAGGGCCAGACTGCAACTGGAAGGAACAACCATAATTCTCCTGCAGTCAAAGGAGCTCCTAGCTTTCATACACAGTGAGAGTTCATAGCCCCAACAGCACAATCAGGAAACTTAAGGGCACTTCATCAAATCAAATCTCTTAAGTGTTTAAGTTCATCTTTCTCCATGAAATGTGTCTGGAAGACAGTCTCAAGCACTTCACCAAAGTTAATTGCTCGAACCCAAACCATCACAGTCCACAAATCCTTCAAACTTTGAGAAGACTTAATGCTGAACTGCTGCCAGGCGCTCATTCTTCTGCAGCCACAACAACAGCTTTCTTATCAATAAATGGGCATTCCTGTGCATGCAACACCCAGTAATGGCAATGGAAATGTCTCAGTCGAATGCCTAATTTGAGAGTAGGATATGACCAAAAGGTTGCAGGCAGCAAAAAAGTGCTAAGTGAAGCTACAGGCCAAGCGAGATGCTCATTCAAAATAAACAATGGAACAGTCCCCTTCCAGAAGTGTGAGGACAGCCAGCGTGGGGGCTGCTATAAAAACGTCGACATTTGCTATAAATTGCTGTGCTTCAAAACCCAAGACACTACAGTTTTCCTCAATAGGAAAAAACTGGGCTATCTCCAAAAACTGTTGGTAAATGAGGACTTCAAGGGTGACAATTGCATCAGTACAAAATCAATCTCCTGTTTTAGCCCAATTAGTGCTGTGCTAAATCATCAGCCCAGGCCTTGCCTTTCGCAGTTGAAAGAGACACATCTGTGAGGCTCTTCTGTTGCATGTGTTTTATATTATACTCTAGCACAATATGCATAAACTAACACTATTCTACACTTACACAGCACCTCATCTGGAAATCTGAAAGCGATTTATGAATGGTGGGCATCTGTGACATTTTACAGATGGAAATTGAGGCACAGAGGGATTCAGTAATTAGCCCCAGACTTGCACAATGAGTCAGCTGCAGAGCAGAGCCCATTATTTGTTGTGTAGTAACATCTAGTGTCCAAACACAGAGAGAGACAAATCTCCCCCCGCAAAAAAACATACAAGCATGCCCAAAAATGCCACCCAGGTCTGTCTGTGCTCAGACCAAGACTGTTGAGGAATAGTTGGTGTGAGTGCATATCCTAAAGCAGTCTCCCCTGGTAGACAGGTCCCTCCATTCTTGTAATACAAACACAGGCCAGAAGAAGGGTTAATAAGCCTGAAAGTTTGTCTGCTTTTTCCACATCAGTTGATCTAATAAAAAAGATTGATTCTCCCTGAAAATCTGGCCTCACTTTAACAAATCATTTGATTTGACACAAAGGACTATATTCAGATAGTTTAAATTCCACTTTAGTCCCTGAAACTGAAGTTTCTGATGGGCTGATTACTTAGAAAGAGCCAATAGGAAACACCAGGCAGAGACACCCACCTTGGGTAGGGTCGAAGGTGCCTGAGTGCGGCCAGAAGCATCTGCTGCACTTGGGCACGACTCTCTCATAGTGCTTATGAGCCTACGAGGAATGTCACAGTGTTACAGAAAACAGACAGGCTTTTCTAAACCTTCTAGAAATACAGCAGCAACTCACACTTCTGAAGCACTTCCAGTACATAAGCGTAACACCATATTACCTTCCCACCCTGCCCAAGACAGTGGGACAGATGCCTGGAGTGACATTCCCAAGGATGCAGAACACTAAAGGGTAGAAAGAGCCCATGACACAATTCAAGCAATCCAGGCACTTGGATTGAAATGGCAAATTTTCAGCTTCTTTAGTTTGAAAAGAGAAAAGCATCTGCAGTCAGATCTCTACTGCAACTTAAAACAGATCTAACTTTTAGCTCTCCATTATTCCCTCTTGGTCCTGCCTATATCAAAGTTAATGAACATTGCAGTTGGAAGAGGCTAATTTTACAGTGCTCCTGGCCTCGGTCTACCTGTTCTCTACTTATTTGGCATGTTTCCTTCTAAAAAAGAGAAGAGAAAATCTTCATGTCATATGGTGCCATGTACACCCCACACCACACAATTTTTTTTATCTAGTTTCCAGGGAAGCTGTGGAATCCCTTCTGCACATTTCATTGCTCACCTCAGAATACCTCCCCCTCCAGGCCTCAGAGAGCAAATCTCAACCACACTAGGGGCAAGACATCTCTGCCTTGCTGCCTGGCCCCATACTTCCAAAGAGTTTACCCTACATCCTAAAAATCAGTGTATTATTTGGAAGCTAAATGACTGAGAGCAAACGACAGAGGGAAACATTTTCAAACATAAGACAACTAGAGGAATCTTGGGCCAAATTGTTGAAAATTAGAATTCCTAGCACAGTCAGAAAAAAAAAAAAAAACCAAAACAAAACAAACAAACCAAAACAACACAAACTATAAAACCCCAATATTCTCTAACTCCCACTGTCAGGTTAACAGAATAGTAACATGAGTTAGATTTTACCTGGATGAAACCTTAAGGGTGCATGGCAGGGTGCAATGGAGTAAGCCACATTTTAAAATAATTTAATAACTTGTCTCCTCAGAGGACCATAATGTGCTGGGGGCAGGACTATTCCTGCCCTCTACAGCCACAGAATAGGGCAGATGTTGAAAAGCACACAGCCACCAAGGGAGAAACTGAAGCACAAAGTGGAGAGAGACCAAGGAAACAAATCAGCACTTTAAAAAGACAATGAAGCAACAAGACTGGCCTGTGGCAGGAGTAAGAATAAGGATTGCAGAAGATTTAGATGTAAATGCAGATGGCATGTTCTTGGACATGTCGTTTAGATCCTCTGTGGCAGTTGCAATATGAGGGTCATTGTGATAAGAAGTGCATTCGTGTGCCAGGACATGCCCACGTACCAGAGAGGAGTAAGCAATAGCATCCCCAACCATGGAAGAGAATATGAAAGCGAATGAGGATAGAAACAGGAACTGAAGGATCCTTCTCTCCCAGAAGGGCTGGGACTGACTTCTCTATTTGGACACTGATTTTTTCCTGATACAATAAGAACTAAGAATTTTAAGGAAGGACCTGAAGTCATTACACACCCTGAATGCCCTCTGGTCTCTGCAGTGAGCGCTGGGAAGAGGTGTTGGGCATCTTCCATGTCAGGGTCCCACCCAAGGGATGCAGAGCTGCAGATTTGAGGCAGATCCTTTCCGGGCTGCCATCTCTGCCCTGCTTCGCTACTGCCCACTGCAGTTGTGCCTGGAATGACCAGCCAATTCCATGCTGAACAACCCCAGTTAATGAGGAATCAGAGGCACGTTCTGTAATGGGCATCCGTGGGCAGAGCACACAGAGAGAGATGAACACACAGAGAGAGATGCTAGAGCATGAAGCACATCTCCAACAGAGGTAGGGGCAGAAAGACAGATGCTTGTCCTAATTTAAGACTTCATAGGAGCTTCTGGACTATGGGACACTCATTTTTCTGCTGAGTATGTGTTCAGTAAGGAGAGCAAAGAGGCAGATCAGCATGAGCTCTTCATGCCCTTGCATACCGCTGCTTTCACAAAACAGGCCCTTCGGAGTAACTCATCTGCTCAGCATATGTGCTGCTTCAAAGGTCCCTGATTTTCATCTTTTACCATCAATCTGGAGACATAGATTTCATGCACTGACAAGCAACAAATAAGCTCTCATTCACTTTCAACCTTCAAAACTATTTCAGTTTTCTCAGGGGAAGCTGTTCAGAGGCACCAACACGAGTGTCACACAAACACTCGGATGTAGGGAGGCACCAGGCTGCTGGATGTCAGTGGCTGATGAACCTCTGTCCTAACATAAGAGCCTGCAATTGGAAGCAGTGTCACAGCCACCTTCCCTGGGAGCACTCTGCAGCACTCACTTCACCAAGCCAACCCTTTCTGGTTCTTCTCAACATACCACCCCCAAAGACTGATGGGGAGCATGAGCAGGGAAAACAGAAGGGATGAGTTTTAATTGCAAGAAGGAGAGCACAACAGGCATCCTGGGACAGACCCAGGGTCTGTGGAGCCTGGTGTCCCCTCCCAGACACTGACCCAAGGGAAAACAAGAAAGCTGCAAGCAGGGTGACCCTTCCCAGGTGCTCCCTGGGCAACTCCTTGAATCTAAGAGGAGCAGGGCATTTCCAGCTCCCTTTTTCCTTGCCCTCCAGGTATCTGAGGCAACGAGCAGACAGACTCACAGACCCCTTCCCGTATGCTTCCCCCCACAAGCAAAGGGCACCCCTGGCTGCCACAGCCCCCCACCCAGGAGTGCACCCCACTTCACTCAGGCTCTGTTTTTCTGTGATGTTCATGTTGCCCACTTACGGTCCTGGTTGGAAAAGTAACCGTGCTGGCGGCCAGAAGAACCTGCGGAGGGGGAGACAAGGCAATTATCACTGGGAACATGTCAAACCCCCGCCCTGCACAGCATTGGTTCAGCAGAGAAAAAGTTTACTCAGCTTGTGGAGCAAAACTTGGTAAGGAATGAAAGTGCCTTCGCTCTCCCCACTCGGCTCGTTTTGCACTCTTGCCAGCACTTCCCCCCTTCCCACCCACAGCAAGACATGCATGCACAGACGCACACACTCGTGCTCTCAAAGTGCTGAAATCAGCCTGTAAAAAAGCCCCATGCCTCTATTGGAGATGATGCTTCCAAGAAATACAACCACAGAAAAACCTACTGAATGAAACAGGATGCAGCAATCCATTCCGGCTGAACGTAAAAGGGGCTTGGGGTTGGGTTTGGGGTTGGTTTTGGTTTTGGATAACGGCAGTCACTGCCTCAGCTGCACACTATGGAGAAATAAATGGTCCCAGGTTCAAGAAGGGCGAGCAGCAGCCATCATTTTGGCTGAGCCATGGGAGGAAGAACCCAGCACCTTCCCAGCTGCTGGTGCCTACACTAAAAACCAAGTTTGTGCCAACCAGAAGAGAAACAATCAGGCTGGGTGGTAGGGGGAGCAGGGAGGCTGTCATCAGAATGGGCACGGCAGCATTTCGTAATGTTTAGAAAACCAGAGTACAGAGAGGGTGTCTGCCCCCGGGTCTGCTGGGGCCAGCTTGTGAGCTGGGCTGGTTAACCTTGCCTCTAGAGATTTTTCTATCTCCAAGTGTAAAACCAGAGAAGACAACTCCAGCCGTCTGTGTAAACCACTCTGAGGCCTGCAAAGACCTAATTATTTAAGTCTGTGAACCACAAAGCATTTTCATCTGGAAAACACTATGAGCAAATCGGTATCTGTGCTTTCTTGCATAGAAGGGTAAAAAAGGAAAAAGAAAAATTCTAAACAAGCTGAGAAATAATTGTCTTAGTACCAAAAATTTCCCGCAGCACTGGAGGGTGACGGTCACACTGGAGTGATGTATATTAGTCATGATCAGCACACATAAAATCATCTTGAAGATACTAACTGCAAACAACTGTTACAAGATTTTACAAGCGTGTGTTTGTTGTACCAGTGTCTAGAAACATCACACTAAAAACAACAAACAAGATCAGATAATTGCTTTGAATGTGGTTTTTGTTAGTTTGAGGTCCTAGATGGTTTTGTGCAGATGCTTAGAAAGCTGAGCAGCAGGCTTGCTGATTGTCCTCCTCCTCACCTTCGCTGGGAGGAACAGAGATGTTGGTGCAATGACATCACTGCAAGTCTGGACAAGGGCTAGAGTCCCTTAAGAACCTCAGACACTCACTAAAACCCACAGATTCCTTTGGAGGGCTGATGTTTTAATATTCCTCCAGCCCCTCTGTGTCACCTCAGGCTTTAAAGCACACAAGCAGTGATAACAGGCCAAGTCCAGTCCCACAGTCACCAGGGTTACGTTCCTCCTGAACTGTCCTTTGAGGGAAGTAAAGAGAGACTTGGCTGCTGGTGTGACTCTCAGCAGCTGTTTCCATAATGCTGGGCAAATATGTGACATGGATGAACAGAAAATGGCCCTGAATGGACCAGCCCTATCTTATTCCCCTTTTCTTAAAGAAATCCTGTCTCAGAGGGACCTGCCCCCAAGCCCCTCACAGGATTGCCCATGTGAGGAATGTTTTCAGCCTGTTTAACCCAAGGTTTGGGTTTCAAGCGACAATCAGCAGGGACAAGGTAAATCAGACCAGGCAACCAAGGGGATGTTCCCATAAAGCCCCACCACGGCTTTGGCCAGATGAGCAATCACAGCGTGTGCTGTACCACTCACACCACTTCTAGCCCCACCAACTCGAGCACTGGGAGCCGGGAGGCAATGCCTGCCACTGGGAAATCCTGTCGCAGAAGGTGCTGGCCATGCTGCAGCCTTTTCTGCAAGCATTACCAGTGCCAGCTGGCTCCAAGCTCTGTCAGCACGTACTGCAACCTCAGCTCTGGCTGCAGAGGAGAAACAGGCAAGTGGGGATCTAGGACACATGCTAAGCCAGGGCAGCAACCTGGCTGGATCTGAGCATTACTGTAAGTGCAAAGATAGAACACATGGTACTTACTGAAACCTTCCTGCGGCATGGCCAATGCCAGTTTTGCTTCTACGTGAGCAGTAGTTGAAGCCTCACAAAGAAACTTTGCAGGTGCCAGACAGGGAAGTCCTGGCCTCCCACAGAAACCTCTCTCCAGATACTCCAGTTCCTGACCCTTCCAAATCTAATGGGTTTCTAACTCTGGTACCTCTTGCTATAGGTAACAAACCTCTCTTAAGCCATGGCAGCGCCCTGCTTCACAGAAGTTGAAAAGTCTCTGCTCCCTGTCTTTGCTGCAGCAGACACATGACTGCAAGTGAGGACTGGGATGCAGCTCTAACACCTTCCCCACCTCTCCAAGACACCCAGGCAAGGGAACTCCTATCCTTTGCCTTCTGAGAGAAGGCAGAGCAAAGCTCAGTTATCCAAGTCAGCTACCAGCCCAAAGAAAGCATCACAGGCAAATCTCAAAGGGCCTAGAAATTAGTTATCTTGGACCACAGCAGCTGCCCTCCGTGTCAGGGAATGGCACATCAGATGCAAGAGTAGTGCAGAGAAGCAAGAGCCAAGCTTTGCGTTTTAAAACCCTAAGGCCAGCTCTGGCCAACCTGAGGTCCCAAAGCAATACATGACAGAAAACCAAAGCCCCCAAACAAGATGCTGGAGGCTACAAGGTCACACAGCATTTGTCTTGTGCACTCGCAGCTGAAACTTTCAGGTGGGGAGTTGTCCTGGAGAACTCTGCTATCCCCTTTTAACTGATACTGTCATTGCAGCCAGAACCCCAAAATGCAGCACACTGTTTTGTGAATGTACACTCTTCAGAAGGAGGACTGATGTGGACGAGACAATTAATTTAGCCTCTCAGTGCCTTACCAGGCTTCAGGATTTAACAGAAGAGCAAGCAAGTGCATCCTGCATGAGATTTCTGGGAATGGGTAGTCAGAGAAAACAGGTATGAGATACAAGTTACAGACAGTGCAACAAGTCACTTTGGTGCCAAAAGCCTTGCATCACCACAGAGCCTTCAAACTAACTGCAAGCCATAACAAAAATCTCAGAACCACATAGTTTTACAGTATTAACTGAATAATAACCACTATGCAATAAATTTTCTGTCATTATTCCACCATTAACAGCAACTACAAACCACCAAGTTCTGCTTCTACTTTGAGGAGCAGATAAAGATTCCAGTTCAGTCCTTTCCAGTTAAAATTAGAGAAATGTTTTATGCCTTCTGCAAGAACTACAGAGTCAACAGAAATACCAAGGGCCAAATCCAGAGGAATCCTATTACTAAGGTCCATCTAGGCTTAGACAGCATCCACAGTGTGGCATAGGAAGTTTCTCCCTTTGCACAACAGTGCCAGGTCGAGATCAATGACATCAACAAAAAATGTTTACAATGTCTTTTCTGTAACAGCAACAAGAAAGAGAAAACTAAATCACAATTACAAAAGAAAGTCCAATCAAAGGTAGAAATGTATTCCACAGCCCTGCACAGGGAATCCATTTCTGGACAGCTGCCTCAAACTCTGCATCCGCCTCGTGCTGGCTCAACCCCCACTGCTCTTGGCAGGTGAGATAGAAAATTGGTTATAAAATGAGCCCTATATTTTATAAGTTTCATAAACATTTAAAAAAAAAAAACTAGAATATGAGGTATTCTCAGAGATCCTGTGCCAGAGAGTAATGTGGTCTAACTTGGAAACAGAGTTACCACCTGTTCATGGCAACTACTCTTTTAATCTTCATTTCTGTTTTATTACCTGACCGACACTATTTTATTAGCTGACAATTAGTTTAGGTTGATTTAATTAAACAAAATTGATTACCTTCCCTCTTTCTTCAAGGCCAAAATTTCTGCAGGACTAGGGGTTTGAACAACTTGGACCCTGTATCAATAAAGCTGTATTCCAGATCTTTTTGTCAAAAAACGATCCCACAGCAATTGAGGTAAATACATGTCAGTGGACAAAAAGATGTTCTAAGTATGTGTTAAAAAGGCAGGCTCTGGCTTCCTGGTTAAAAACTGAGGTGATAGTTTGACACCAGGTAGCACTATTCCTTAAGCTTAACTGGTTTAAGTTGCCACCTCTGCTTTAAGAATTAGTGTGTCTACACCTCAGAGATGGACAATACACCAGATAGGAAAGAGATAGCTGAAAAACAACCCAATATGAAAAGAATTCACCCATTATTTTTCAGGGAGATCATTTCCTTAAACCATGTGGCTGGAGAGATGCTCGAGTCCGTAGAACAGAAAGGGCAGTGCAGGGGTGGAGCAGCAGGCATGGTGAAGGGGGTAAATTTTGACTGCCACTGGAAAGGGGTTCATTTAACTAAGTGCAAAGATGAACACACAGTCGTTGTCTGCCAGTATCAGACAGCACTCTTACAGTTAGCACCTAACTAAAGCTTGAAGCTGATGACAAAAATCTGTTGACACCAATAGGCCAACAGAAGGTCATTTGCATCTTAAACAGATGCCTCTAAAATAGATGTTGCACACTAGACAAGGCAAGCTTTTCTCTAAGTGTTTGCTCTTCGGTTAGCACACACACTCATGCATCAGCATTCAGGCTAAAGTAGCATGTGTCTGAAAAAAAACTGGTCTACAGTGAAAAAGATAGCATAGGGTAGATAGCTCAGTTAGCTGTAACATGGCTTTGGATTTGTTTTGATTTGTTGTGGTAGCAGTTTGTTTTTTTTTCCCTTTAATCTTTTTTTTATTCCTTCATTCTTTTTTTTTTTTTTTCCCCCACTTTTTAAGAGCTATACCAAGAAGGAAGTCCTGACTGGGAAAATATCTCAAGTTCAGCACATACTCAACATTAATACACAAGTAGGTACTTAAACTGTGAGGTATCAGTCGGACTGAGAAGAGAGAGTGTTCATCCAGAAATGTTGTATAGATATTTATGTT